AAACACATGGGATAAAATCAAGCAGACCAATATGCACATTAAGGAAATCAAAATTTTCTTCTCTCAAAAAAGAAGAGAAAGAAAGAGAAAGAATGATTTTTAAAAATGACCATAGACATCCATATTTGATGAAAAACATTAATCTAAAACTCCAAAAAATTTAATGGACTTGAGGTAGGATAAACTCAAAGAGATTCACACCTAGACACATTATAAACTATCAAAAGAAAAAGACTGAAAGGCTATTGGAACCAGTAAGAGAAAAGTGATTAGTTGTATACAAGAGATTCTCAATAAGATTAACAAATGGTTTCTCATCAGAAACCATATAAGCTGGAAGGCAGTGGAATGATCTTCAACGTGCTGGGGGAAAAAAAAGGCAATCAATCAAGAATTGTATATTCAGCAAAATTATCTTTCAAAAACAAAAGAAAATTAAGACATTTATGGATAAGCAAAAACTGAAAGAATCTGTCATTACCCAAACTTCCTTACATGAAATACTAATGGTTAATCCTTCAGGCTGAAATAAAAAGGCACTAGACTGTAACTCCAGTTTACATGAAGAAATAAAGTACAGTGTTTAAAATAACTATAAGATAAATATAAAAGACAAGGCAATTGTTTTAAATGTGTAACTTTTATTTTATTACTTATTTTAAAAACAACTGCATAAAGCAATAATAATAAAAAAAGTGTTGATGTATTTTTACATCAACCAAAGGTTTACTTTTAACAAAATTAAGTTGGTTTTAATTCAAGCTAGATTATTTTAAATGAAGATGTTGTTCATCATGAAAACCATCAAGGGAAAAAATACATGCACAAACACATCATTAGTCTTTGCAGATATGCAAAAGAGGGACAGTAAATAAGAAATGTTGAAAATATGGGATAAATAGTAAAACATGAGATATAGAAAAAAATCTAAACTTATCAGTAATTATAACAAATATATGAGCTAACTGCTTAAGTTAAGATAAATATTGCTAAATAACGTTAAAGGAGTCTAGCCGTATATGTTTTCATACAGGAATATAAAAGTAGGAGACTAAATAAATGCTAAAATTAAAATAATAGAAAAAGGTATACTAGCCAGATAAGAACCAAAGGATGACTTGAATAACTATAATAATACCAAACAAAATCAACTTTAAGAAAAAAAATCATCATTAAAGATAAAGGCAATCAATAATAAAATTTTTCAAGTATTTACTTTTGAACTTGTTTATATCTAATCCTCAAAAATATTCTTAAAAATTTAACTGGCTATACTACATTAAGAAATCAACAAAACCACCATTGTTATTTAGATTTTAATATGTTTCTCTCAATAATTGATAGATTCAAGAAATTGTAAAAGGGGACTTCCGTAGAAAATTCAAACGCAAATAACAAGCTTGATCTAATAGATATACATAGAACACGGCAAAGAATAAATCATAATGGAATTTAGAAGTTATTTAAAACTAAGTGAAAATGAAAGTACTGCATGATAAAACAGTGAATTGAAGGAAAAGCAGTATTCAAAGGGAAAAGTATAACTTTAAATTATTATACTAGAAAAAATTGAGAAAAATAGTGCAGAAATCATCTTTCTTAAGATATTGTGAAAAATAATAAAACAACAAAAATTATTGGAAAAGAGAGAATGATGAGGACAGAAAATAATGACATTAGTTTTTAGAAAAACACAATCAAAAGAGGATCCAATAGAACAAATACTTGTTCATTGAAAAATAAGCAATAAAATAGACCTCTGGTGGTGATAAGAAAGGGAAGGCACACACAGACTGTACTAGAAATGACAAAGAATTAACTCTAAATAATGCAGACTTTAATATGATACTATGAGCAATGTTATGACACAAAATATGAAAACCTAGATGAAACTGACAAATTCTTAAAAATATATATAAATTACTTATTAGAAAACTTAAGTATTTATCCCTCAACTTCCCCTAATGGAGGACAAAGAGAAAAGAAAAAAAACTTTGGATGGCCAAACTTTATATTCGTAGAACACAAAGCACCAAAAATATTTTCAAATATAATATTTAGAGTTTTAAGCTAGTCTCAGGGGCAATTGTCATTGAAAATAGTTGTTTGCTGGAACCTAATGTTTGTTCTATGTTATTCTAGCCTTTCTATAATTGCTGAATGAGTGAATAAATAGATTTATGGTCTAAAATATCATATCATATGATTATATTTTAATAATACTGATGGATGCAGAGCATGCATAATTGCCATAAAAAGAGAGAGAGAGAGAAACTAAGGCCAGAACAGGTTAGGTGATCTGCCCAAGGTCACATAGCCTGTGTGATATGTGAAATAAATACCAATCCATGCATTCTGTATCTAAGTCAGTATCCTTTGAACTAAAGCATATTGTAGAGTCATTAATTCACTCACTTCATTTGCAAATTAATTCAGTTCTACTACTAATTATCCCTAGTGCAAGAAGGGTGGGAGCCATCCTTTTCATACCAAAGAGAATAAACTGTTTTGAGAATTTTAATAATTACTCATTAGTGCAAATCTTAGTACTAATATTACTTAAGAAGTATTTAAAGTCCTCTTTCCATTAAGGTATGCACTTTGATGTATTTTAAATATTTTCTCAAATATTGCTAAGCCAAACAAAATCTGTGAAGATAATGTAGACAAAGAATTGTCACTATTTATTGATATATCCTTTATTCAACTCAATTAAAAAACCCCTAAACATCAGGATCAAAAGGTACAGTGCTGAATTTTTGTATAGAGAAATGAAATCTAGAAAATATCAAATCCATTCTCACCTATCATTTTCGTAAAGATGTTTTTAATTATAAAAGGCACACCTAAGTCAGAATGCTAATTGGCAAAAGGCTTTTTGAAATACATTTGATAATATGTATTAAAAACCTTAAATATCTTCAAACCCTTTGACCCAGCAATTTCATTCTGAGGCTTAATTTTGAGAAAGTTCTCCAAGTTGGGGAAGGTTATAAAAAGAATGGTATTTATTGCAACAATGTTTGTTGCAGCACTTTTTCATGAGGCACATGAAATAATAGAATTGTTTCTATGGTAAATATGTTGTTATATAATGAGAATTTTTAAAAACTTTTTATTTTGAGCTATTCTTGGACTTACAGAAAAGTTGCAAAGACAGTACAGAGCGTTCCCACATACCTGTCCACCACTGTCCCCAATGCTAACATCTTACATAACCATAGTACAAATAACAAAACCAGGAAATGAATGTTGCTGCAATACTATTACTTAAACTTCAGAGTTTAATAGACTCCCTTGTTTTTCCATAAACATCCTTTTTCTGTTCCAAGATCCTACCCACAATTCCCGCTTTGCATAAAACTGTTATGTCTCCTTAGCCTCTTTCCATTAGTAACAATTCCTCAGTCTTTTCTTGTCTTTGATGGTAAGGGAAATAATAATGGTTTCTATTGCATAAGGAAAACAGGACACAGAACATTACACATATGCACCCACACATATACACACATGCACATATACAGCATGATCCCAACTACACAAAGAGAGAGCTGACTAGCAAAACCTCAGGAGGAAACACCCAAAATGTTATCAGTTCATATCTTTAGGTGAGGGTTACAGGCAATTATTTCCCTGCTACTTTTACTTCCTCTCTTTTTTAAAATATATTTTCAAATATGATCATTCGAAACTTAAAACCAGAAGGAAGAAACACATAATATAAAATAATAAGATCTCTAAGCCAGAGTTTTATTAAACCAGAGAGCTTATTCTCCCTTTTGATCTGGCTAAATGTAATTTCACTGCATTGTGGGTATACACATAATTCCCTCTGCTAGTTCTGAGACTGCTCATATTTTGCTAATTCTCCACCACCACCCATTTCTGCCAACATTTAAACGTTCCTAGTAGCAACTACCCAGCTATGAGTGGCACAGAGACTTAAGGCAGCGAGTGTTGCTTCATTTCAAGAGCATTGGAAATACACATGCTCACTGGAGACACTGGACACAGAAATAATCCACCGGAACTGCACCTTCCTTAGGGTAGAAGGGATGGTCCCACCTTCCCTTTCTCAAGCTCCCCTGGGAGACTGTGGGGGTCACCGCACCATGCCTTACGGAATACAGACTGCAGAAGTGCGCTCACTGCAGTCACTATCTAGAAGGTGCTAAGAACAAGAGACCAGTGGCCCTGATGCCAGATCACAAGGGCGTTTTAGGGTGCCACAGTTTTGTCTGATTCCTCATAATGGCTATGTTTTTCACCTTCCAGCTCATCACCACATTGAATGATAGAAATCCCTGAACGAGAAAAGCACCTTGTCTTTGCAGGCAGGCAGGAAGAGACACTCCAGTGAGAGGGCCCCCTCACTTCACAGCAGAGGGGTGATGGCCGTTCCCACTAAAGCTAGGATAGCGGTCTCTCGTCCCTGTGGCCATGATGCACAAGGGAGCAGAAGATGCCTGCCTGCCTGTCTGGGTCTCAGAGGAGCCTGTCTGCTAAAATGGAAAGAACTTGTCACTTGAAGCCTGTGGGGTTTAAGTTTGGATCATGGTTTGACGGCATGCAATAACATTTACCATTTATTGAGCATCTACTGTGTTCTCTTCCTGTAACAACAATTCTGCAAGACAGGCAACATAAATCCATTTTACACCCAAGAAATCTGAGACTCTTATAGGGTATATAATCTCAGGCTAGGTAATTTGCTCCTCTGTATCATGAGAATAATAAACTCATCCTCCTACAGTTGTTGGGATTCAATGAACCACATAGAAAAAGGACTGAATATATTTCCTAAGACATAGTTGGCATTAAGGAGGAGTGGCTCTTTGACACCCAGATTCCACGGTGATGCAGTTTCTGGGATGCTTCACCTGAAGTGTGATCTGGTTTAGATTTTTTAATGTAAGCCTAGAATCCCAAGGATCTGCCAGGGACAGAAGAAACTCGTCTTGGAATCTTCCCGAAATGCAAACAGTTTAAAGGTCACTGAAAACTTCATCTAGTATATATTTGTATTTGTCTCGTAAACTCCTGAGGAGAATTTTCCAGGAGATGGTGGCGTCTCAGGAGACTACTCGCCGAGGCTCCTGTAACTCAGTTTCTGTTGTTTTTGGCCTCTGCCTCCTGAAAGGAAAAGGGAACTCAGTGAAAAATGTTAAACAAAGCCAAAGGTATAAATATTTTTTAGAAGTGCTAAATAAAAACTGTCAGAAACCCACTGCTGCAGGGAGATTTCTCGGTAACCAGTGCCAAGCGGGGTCCTGGCTGCAGCACCCATGAATGTCCTTCCTCCAGGTTTCCTGGGGCTCTAGGCATCTCGAATGAGGCGTGCTCTCTGTCCTTACTGACGCCTATTTGGGAGGATGAGAGCTGGGAAAATCTGTGAACTCTGGGCAATGGAATCCAGCAGGTGAGTGCGGGGAGTCTCCGGGCTTCTGTAGTACAATCGTTCTCCGAGAGAAAGAGAGAGAGAGCGCATGCGCATACGCACGCGCATGCGCAAGCATAGAGCTCGTATAGAGAACATACTAAAACTCAGAGAGTGATTGGGATTCATTTTCTACCAGATGTATGCTTTCTTTTTTTTTTTTATTTATGATTTTCTCTTTTTTTTATTACCTCATATTATGGGGGTACAGATATTCTTAGGGTTACATATCTTGCCCCTACCCCCCTACCCCGCTATGCTTTCTTTTTTTTAACAGAGGAAAAAAAAATAACTCTTTAAAAAAAAAATTTGGACAGGTATCCATGCATGTAACCACCACCACAATCAGAATACAAAATCCTCCATCACCTCAGCAAACTCCTTCATGCTATCCCTTTGTGGTCACACCTTCCCCTAACCCTGACCCTGGCAGTCCTGAATCTATTCTTCATAAATACATGTTTGTCTTTGCAAGAAAGTCATATACATGGACCCACACAGTATATGACCTTTTCAAACTAGCTTCTTTCCTGCAACATCATGCCTTCAAGAGTCGTCCAAACCGTTGCCCTGTCTACTATGTGTGCCTTTGTATTGCTCAGTAGTATTCCACGGTGTGGATGTGTGGTAGATAGAATGATAGTTGCCCCAAATCTGTTGTGATGCTAATATTAAAAACCTGAGCATATATTACCGCAAATAACAAAAGGGACTTTGCAGATGTGATTAAGAATCTTGACACATGGAGATTTTTCTGGACTATCCAAGTGGGCCCAATGTAATCACATGCATCCTTAGAAGGAGGCAAGAGGGTCAAAGTCAGAAAAAGCAGCCATGACAACAGAAGCAGAGGCTGGAGTGACGTGCTTGGGAGACAGAGGAAGGGGCTGTGGGCACAGGAATGCAGGAGGCCTCTAGAAGCTAGAGGGGCAAGAAAATGGGCTGTATCCTGGGGCTCCAGAAAGAATGAGAAAACCTTGGTTATAATAGCTCCACAAGAACTCATTTTTATAATAGCTCCACAAGAACTCATTTTGGAGGTCTGACCTTCAGAACTGTAAGGTAATAAATATGTATTGTTTTAATTTGTTACAGAAGTAGTAGGAAACTGACATAGGATGTATTATAGTTTGTTTATCTATTCATCCATTGGAGATTATATGGATCATTTCAAATTTTGGGTCATTCTAAATAGAACTTCTATCAACATTCATATAGAGGCTTTTATGTGCACATAAGTTTACGCTTCTCTGGGATAAATACCTAAGACCTAGATTCTTAGGTCCTCTGTTAAGGGTATTTTTAACTTCATAAGAAACTACCAAAAATGTTTTTTAGAGTAACTGCACCATTTTGCATACCCAATAATAACAAATGAGAATTTCAGTTCCTTTTCATATTGGCAACACATGGTAGTGTGTGTGTGTATGTGTGTGTGTGTTTATTGATTTTTTGCAATTCTAATAGATGTGTTAGTGATATCTAAAATCTAAAGTGGTTTTATTTTGTATTTCTCTAATAGCTAACAATGTTGAACATCTCATATACTTATTTGATATCTCTAAATCTTCTTTGTTGACATGTCTACTCAAATCTTTTGCTTATGCTTTTGAATTGAGTTGGTTTTCTTTATTATTATTTGAAATTGTAGATATAAACCCTTTAATCTTTATTTATGATTTACAAATATTTTGTCTTAGTCTGTTGCTTGTCTTTTGTGTCCTCATAACAGTTTCTTTGGCAGAGCAAAAGTTTTTAATTTTAATGAAATCTACTTTATCATATTTTTCTTTAATGGATTGAATTATTTTTGCCTGAGCCCATATGAGATTTTATTTTATTTTGTATTCTAAATATTTTTTGGTTTTATGTTTTATATTTAGATCTATGATCAATTTTGAATCAATTTTTTAATAAGGTAGGACTCTAAGGTCTAGTTTTATTTCTTTCTATGAAGATGTCCAAATTTCTAACACCTTTTTGAAAAGACTGTCCTTTTTTTCTATTGAATTCCTTTTGCATCTTTGTCAAAAATAAATGAGTTGTGCTTGTGTAGTCTATTTATGGATTCTGTAGCCTATTCTATTAACCTATGTATGTATCCCTTTGCCAATATTATAGTGCCATGATTACTACAGCTATATAGCATGTCTTAAAGTTGGTTACTATAATTCCTCCAACTTTTTTTTTCAAAATTGTTTTTGTTGGTACCTTTAAATTTCCATATGAATTTAGAATCAACCTGTCTATACTGGCAACAACAAAAAAAATCCTGTTAGGATTTTGATTTTGATTGGTATTGTATTAAGACTATGTATTAATTTAGGGAAATTGACTTTTTTTATTATGTTGAAAATTCCTATCCATAAATGTTTTTGTTTTGTTTTGTTTTGTTTTAGTGGAGACTAGGTCTCGCTCTTGCTCAGGCTGGACTTGAACTCCTGAGCTCAAAGGATCCTCCCGCTCCTGCCTCCCAGAGTGCTAGGATTACACAGCCACCATTCCAGGCCTCCATGAATGTTGTGTCTCTCTAGTTGTTTAGATTTTTCTGACTTTTTATCTGGATTTTTTAGTATGTAGAAGAATACAAATCCTGTGCAAGTTTTGCTGGGTTCGTGACTGTTTTATTTATTGAAAGATACAGAATATAGCTTTGCTGTTTTTATTTGGATTCCCAATCTTATGTAGCTAGTGTAGAGAAATAGTCTTTGTGTGATGACTGTACATCTTGTGAGCTTGCTAAACTCACTTCTTAGTTCTAGGCATTTTTCCACAGATCCCCTGTGATTTTCTATGTGGACAATCATGTGTTCTGAGAATACAGACATTTTTATTTCTTTATAGACATAAAAATAATATATATGTCTTTTTTTTCTTGTTTTAGTGCACTGAATAGGTCCTCCAGGACAATATTGTATAGAAGTGGTGAGAATGAATGAGATTTTATATAACTAGTACTTTTGGGTCTCTGAGACCTGAATTTTGGGGGCGGTTATCTCTTCAAACTATCAATTTAACTTCCTTAAAGTTATTGGATTATCAACTTAATTTTGGTTGTGTTTCAATTATTTTAGTTGTTTTTGAGAAATTGGTCTATTGGTCTGTTTTATCTAAATTGCTACATGTACCCAAATAGAGAGGTGTTTGTAATAGTCCTTTATTATCCTTTTAATGTCTGTGGGCACTTTAGTGGTATATGTTCTATTCCTGATATTGGTAGTGTGTGTGTGTGTGTGTGTGTGTGTGTGTGTGTGTCTTACTATTTTATTCATCTGTCCAAATAACTAGCTTTGGTTTTCATAGTTTCTCTGTTGTTTTTCTGTTCATGGTTTCATTTATTTCTGTTTTTAACTTTATTACTTTTCTTTTGCTTGCCTTATCTTATTTTATTCTTTTTTAAATAGTTTCTTATAGTAAAAACTTAAATGATTAATTTGAATCTTTCCTTTTTTTCTTATATGAGCATTTAATGTTGTTAATATTACTCTAAGCATTGCTTTAATTACATCCCACAAGGTTGTGGGGTATTTTATTTTCATTTTTACCCAGCTCAAAATGGATTCTTATTTACCTTGTGACTTCCTCTTTGATTCATATGTCTTCTTTAATTTCTGCATGTTTAGTTGGAGATTTTATTGTCTTTCTGTTACTGTTTCCTGTATAATTCCACATCGTCCGTAATAGACTGAATTGCTCCCTCCACCTCCCCAGCATTCATATGTTGAAGCCCTAACTCCTAGCACTACAGAATATGATTGTATTTGGAGACAGGGCTTTTAAAGAGGTAATTAAGTTAAAATAAGGTCATTAGGTTGGGCCCTAATCCAATATGACTGGAGTCTTTATAATAAGAGGAGATTCAGACACACAGAGTATAGACAAAAGCATGACCATGTGAGGACACAGTGAGAAGGAGCCATCTGCAAGCCAAGGGGAGAAAACTGAGAAGAGACTGAACCTGCCGGCACTTTGATTTGGGGCGTTTAGCCTCTAGAGATATGAGAAAATACATTTCTGGTGTTTAAGCCACCTAGTCTATGATGTTTTGTTATAGCGGCACCAGCAAACTAATTCATGGTCCAAGAATACACTTTGTATTATTTAATTCTTTTACATTTGTTGAGGTTTGCTTTATGACCCAGGATATGGGCTACCTTGCTTCATGTTTTGCACACATTAGAAAAGAATGTGTACTCTGCTATTTCTTGGGTGGAATGTTCTAGAAGCATCAGTTAGATCCAGTTGGTGGATGTTGTTGCTCAAGTTTTCTATATCCTGTCTCATTTTCTTTTTAATCTGTTTTATCAATTATTGAGAGAAGATTGTTGTAGTCAAAAGCTATTAATATTATACTGGATTTGCATATTCCTCCTTTGATGCTCTATTATTAGATACCCTTTCTAGGCTATTGTGAATTTTTAGCATTTTGTAATATTCTGCCTTAACCTTGGTATTTTTCTTTGCTCTGAAGTCTATCTAGTTTGTTCATGTTAATATTGAGACCCCAGCTTTGTTTTTGTTTGTGTTTGTGTGATATATCTTTTGCACCTCTTTACCTTAAAACTTCCTATCATTACACTTGAAATTAATTTCCTGTAGTCTCGTATAGTTGATGCTTCCTTTGCTTGAACAGTTATAGTTAGTGCCACCTTCATCATAAGTCTTTTTCTTATAAAATCATTAAGAGGCCATGTCATCACTGTGTTTAACTATTCAAACCACTCTCATCTCTTTCAGGACACTCTTGTTGTGGGCATTACTTATAAGCATCTTGAGGGCAGGGAAGGAAGATTTATTATCTCTACATTTACCACAGCTTCTAGTACAGACTCTATGTTTTCCCTCATTTTTAATATTAAATGATTCAATTATATTACCTTGATATTGATCAGTAGGATATAGGATGGAACTCAGGATACCTGAATCCTAGACTATGGTCCATTTTGAGAATTAGATAGGTACACATTATAGAAGAAAAACGACAAGGCACTTTAGAAAT